ATTAAACATTGTATTCATACAGGATACGTTTTGTCATAATTTAGTTTCGTATTATACATTGCGTTCATACAGGATACGTTTTGTCATAATTTAGTTTCGGATTATACATTGCGTTCATACAGGATAAGTTTTGTCATAATTTAGTTTCGAATTAAACATTGTATTCATACAGGATACGTTTTGTCATAATTTAGTTTCGGATTAAACATTGTATTCATACAGGATACGTTTTGTCATAATTTAGTTTCGGATTAAACATTGCGTTCATACAGGATACGTTTTGTCATAATTTAGTTTCGAATTAAACATTGTATTCATACAGGATACGTTTTGTCATAATTTAGTTTCGGATTATACATTGCGTTCATACAGGATAAGTTTTGTCATAATTTAGTTTCGAATTATACATTGCGTTCATACAGGATAAGTTTTGTCATAATTTAGTTTCGGATTAAACATTGCGTTCATACAGGATAAGTTTCTTCACGGTTTAAAACAGAAATGTCTTCTTCTCGGTACCCCACAGTTAAGCAGTAAAGCAGGAATTAACTCAACAAACTCGTTTACCATCTCAACAATAACAGGTGTCGCTTCCGACGCAAATACACGAGAAGCGGTATCTTGTAATCTTGAAATTCATAATTTATTGTAGTTTTGTTTTTTTCCTGTTGGGGAAAAACGGTGCCATATTTTTTCCTCTGGTCATTATCACCGGAGCCATTATTACTGACGTTTTTGCTCTCTTTCTCTGTGATTTGCTGTCGTTATGACGTTTTTGTTCTCTTTCTCTGTGATTAGCTATCGTTATCAGGTTACAATTTATTTACACCACCCATAAGCTTTGGGAAGATATTATAACTAATATACACCACCCATAAGCTTTGGGAAAATATTATAAATAATTTACACCACCCATAAGCTTTGGGAAGATATTATAAATAATTTACACCACCCATAAGCTTTGGGAAGAGACTATAAATAATTTACACCACCCATAAGCTTTGGGAAGAGATTATAAATAATTTACACCACCCATAAGCTTTGGGAAGAGATTATAAATAATCCAAAAAGAGTCAGTGGAAATTGAATCTCGCAAGGAGTTTGGTGGTAAGTACAAAATAATCATTGCTGTAAACTGTGGTTCACAATTGGCTAGAGAATAATAGATAATTAATCGTATATTTATCAACTCCTGGGAGTTTGTACTGAGGTTTACCGTTTTGCTTAATTCGCTCTACTCGAACACAGAACACTGATTCACAAACTTGATAAATTCATTATTTTCTGACAACATATCTAGAGAGTTGAAAATCTACCGTGGGTTGTAGAGCATAATTACTCATGGCTGGCTCTGCCTTTGCATTTTTGCTAGGGAACAAGAGGGTCGTTGCCCCAAGGCCTCGGTTTGCAACCCCCCAGAGTTTCAGGATGTAATATATTCACATATAAGATTATCTTTTTCTCTGTGTGTGTGTGTGTGTGTGGGTACACAAATGAAAGAAGTACAGGTTCTTTTTTATTTCAACATCGTTCTTTTACGATCTAGCCCGGAAAATACAGTCGGCTGCTTTATGACGTAACCGCGTGCACACTCGGAATCTTAACGTGCTGGCGGAGTTTCATTCATCTATTTGTTTGACGGTTCATAGTGTTACTATCGCGGCCGCGTCATCCAGTGATTATATAGTGATTACACTAAATTCAGTAATATCACACTCAAGTATCATGAGTGAAAGGAAATCTTCAGATATTTGTTTACGACGACAGCTGGAAATCAGATCAACGTGGGGTTCATTTGTGGTATCAACGTAGGGTTCCTTTGTGGTATAAACCATCAATATTGCCTATAAGTATTATGAATGTAGTTATTACCTAACTTTTCTCGTTCAATTTGAAACAACTTTGCACCCCCACCCCCCAATTTTTTTTTCTGAAATTTTTTCTATCGAGAAATAATGTTACAATTATAAGTTAAATTTTGGTTTTGATTTTCTCCCCAGTGGCTCATCTGTAAGTCTGAGTGCTTATAATGACAAACATCGGGTTTCGATACCTGTGGTGAACAGAGCTCACACAGTCTGTTGTGAAGATTTGTGCTTAACAACAAAAATACTAAATTTTAACCTAAATGGTTAGCTTGTCTTGATCAGAAGATACTGATGCGGTAAACAGTTGTACATAATACTTATCGGCGCTCGTACGTTCTAGCCAACTGTTCCAAGAACTTATAACATTGTAATTAAATCACTGCTCATTCGCCTTAGTTCTTCTTAATAGTAGACTTTTGATTTAACGTTTTAAATGAAAGGACTTTTAAATGTATATATTTAAGACAACCCTTCTAGAATCTTGTAACCATCTTCTTTCGTTTCTATCAATATATATTCGGCCATGGCTGGGCAAGTTTTGTATAAACAGTTAACACGCAGTTTGCTTGTTTCTTTCAGAATATTGTGCAAAGCTACACAGTAACTATTCTACGCTTTCCGTCCCTAATTTTCAACTGATAGATTACATGGAAGGCAGCTAATTAACAGCGACCACCGCCAACTCTTGGGAACTATACTTATTTGATCGAATAAAGGGTCTTTACTGTCACTCTTATAACGTCACACGGCCCCTAAAATGCTGAACGCAGTTTTACTGCAATGGTTCACGAACCATAAAACTTGGATTCACCGTCACCCAGCCTGTTAGTTCGCAGAAAATATTGTTTGCGAAATTTTTAGTTTTGTTATATCTGACGTTAAATGACGTCGCTATTGATTTTTTTTTTTTTGTCCGAATTTATGTTCCTGTGAAATTCCAACTCTAAATAAGATGTAGAATGTAACGCAAAATGTTGGGTTTAAAGAACCGCAAACATTTTATCCTTGAAAGTGGTTATAATTATAATAACAATAAATATATATATTCTGAACAATATGTATAAATTTTAACACAGGAAAAACAAAGGAACTGCTGTTACCACCTTCAGCGAAGTCCAAGACACTCTCAGGGCTGGCTGAAGGTACTGTATATGACTTCATTGTGTCAGCTGTCTACAGTGGGAATAAACGTATACCTGCACCAAAGAAATCAGTCCGAACTAAACCCCTCAGTATGGACGACCTCGCTGTGGATGATGGGAAAATTTACCAAACTACCCCAAAAGAACCAGGTTTGTTACCTTCTGAAATTCATTTGAAATACACTAAGAAACTAGATTCTCTTTCAAATATCATACCATTAGATGTATGATATATATTATGGGTATTCATACCATTAGATGAATGATATATTATGGATATTCATACCATTAGATGAATGACATATTATGGGTATTTATACCATTAGATGTATGATATATATTATGGGTATTCATACCATTAGATGAATGATATATTATGGGTATTCTTACAGTTAGATGAATGATATGTTATGGGTATTCATACCATTAGATGTATGATATATATTATGGGTATTCATACCATTAGATGTATGATATAATTATGGGTATTCTTACAGTTAGATGTATGATATACATTATGGGTATTCTTACAGTTAGATGTATGATATATTATGGGTATTCATACCATTAGATGTATGATATATTATGGGTTTCACTCGCACTGATATTAGTCGAGCATTGATTGGGATTCGGTGCCGTCTGTGTTCCCATTTATAATATGCTCATGTATTCTTCGTTTGAATAAAAGTTCAAATTTCATTTTTTTTTATTTTAGTATTATTTAACCAACATTGCTACATTTATCAACTTCTACTAAACTACTGTAACGTTAAGGACAATTTAATTGTAGAGGGAACTCCGGGGGGGGGGGCTACTGTCTTTTTCACATACAATAAAATACACCTTGCACACATCAAACGGGAGGCACATTGGGGCATCAATGTTTAGTGGGGGCCACCCCATGATACGTCACCAGTTAGCTAGATTAAAGGTCAACCTAACAATCGTTAACTTAGTTCACGTGGCAGTACCGTGCAGTGTGACACTCAAAACGTTACATTCCACTCTACAAAAACCACAGACTATTTAATAAAACCACAACAAATATGACACTTGAAACTTTTCGTGGTTATTGTAGCTGCAAAAACCATAAAATATCACCAACTTGAGTCCTAAGACTGCATAGCTTGGGGGTTGCCAACAAAACAAGATAGTGAGTCTTAAACAGAAACTATTTTCAGAAAAATAACGATAGTTGGAACTCAATGGTGGAATGATTAATGTTAGAGCGCTCCCTATAAACTCTGTAAAACTATTTCGCTAAGGTTTTGCTGTCAGAAATGTCTCCTTTGAGCGATTGAGACTGAACGTTAAAGCAAAATAAAAATTTAGCCAACCTCTTTCAAAGGAGTTACTAAGCTGTGTTCACTCTATTTACTTAAAGTTATTGGACAAGTAAAAAAATAAGTTTATATTAAATTTTTAATATAAGAAGAAGAAGAACCGTTCCAAGCTATTAGTGATTTTCAATATGAAGCTTTTATTTAGGTACTCCAAAAAAAAAAAAATACATATGACTTCAAGCGTTTGTGGGGGTGGAAAAAACGACAATAACTGGTAAATAATGTCCTAGGAACTCAGCAAAATAAAATATATGTTTAATACGAATTTAAAGTCCATTGCAAACTTCGTTCTTATATTTTAAAGTACTTCATTTTAATATTCTTTTAGGTTCCTATTGACTGTTTCTCGTACTCGTATGTTTTGAGAATTGGTATATATATTACTTACCTGAGTTAAAATAGGGCATTTCGGCTTTTTATTTTTTACAGATAGAAATTATTTTAATGTATCCAAGCTACATAAACTGATGCTTCAAAGTAAAACACTTCTCTATTCCTGGTTTGACCATACTGACTATGTTTAATAATTGTATTTCAAACATCGACCCATTAGTAACAATATACACATTAAGTAAACAATTAAAAGTAACGTGGGAAGGACTTGAAATATTGTTTGGCATAACTTATCATATGTTTTTATTGTTGCTTATAATATCCTGTACAACTAGTGTTAGTGGATGTGACTGCTTATTAAAAGTAACATTTGTGAAGGATTTTTAACCTAAAACAACGAATGACTTTAACACTTTCTTGTCTTTTCTTAAGTTAATTCGCAAACGCCTGTTTTCAAACAATTAAGTAATGTTAAGTTGCAAACCACCACTTCGTATTAACGTAGCTGCATTTTCAACCATCACTTTGAACTCAGATTGAATTGGGTATATTTCATATCGTGTATCTGGTGGTGTGTGTAGAATAAATAAATGAATTAACTGTCAGTATACCGTTATTAACACATTGATAATAATAAAACACGTGTTCTGTATTTTTATCACTGACTTTTTTATGTTGTATAATATAATAGTTTTATACTATTGGCAGAATGTAACTGTAGTGAGCCAGGCATGGTGGCCTGCACGAGAATGCACGGTGCGGTAAAATGCACATGCTTTCCTGGTTATGCTGGTAGGTGGTGTGAGAGTTGTTCACCTGGAAATTATAGGAACGGAAAGGAATGTAAACCATGCCCTTGTGTTAACATCACGTCATCAGGAGAATGCTCATTAGGTATATTATTTTATTTGTTGTTGCTGTTGTTTAGACAATCATGCCCTATGCTGTTTGCTATTTTATTTTATATTTGGTTTCGACGATCTTACTCCATACTGTTTGTTATCTTATCATTTTTGTTTCAGTTGTCTTGCTCCATACTGTTTGTTATCTTATCATTTTTGTTTCAGTTGTCTTGATCCATACTGTTTGTTATCTTATCATTTTTGTTTCAGTTGTTTTGCTCCATACTGTTTGTTATCTTATCGCCTTTTGTTTCAGTTGTCTTGGTCCATACTGTTTAATATTTCATCTTTTTTGTTTCAGTTTTTACTCTTTAATACATATTATCTTATCTTTGTGGTTTCAACGATTTTGATCCCTACTATTTATTATTTTATGTTCGTGATTTCAACGGCATTTTTCCATGCTACAGATGTGTACTTTATAAAAAAATAGATTCGACTTTAATTTTGATGGGAGGAGTTACATTAACAAACGTTTGTCGAACAAATAAATAAGGCTTGTATAACTACGTAACAGAATCCTTACGTTTACAACATATATATAAAGCTACAAGCTCATTTTAAAGTTTCATATCAACATGATTATTTGACTTTTTTACGTGAGTTTATAACGGTTATTTCGCATACTTCTTTTTGTTGTTTATTATATTTCAACCATTTGGAAACTTACAACTAATTGTTTATACTTTTAAACTTTGTAAAACCGGTAGATAAAACAGGAGAAGTCACGTGCACGTCGTGTATGCCAGGACACAGGGGTGTGTTGTGTGATTCCTGTACTGCGGGTTACCACTGGAAGGAGGACCACTGTGTAGCACTGAATTGTCTGAGTTTTAGCCTTTGTGCTGACCAACAGGATGACCCCAGTTGTTCAGACTGTATCTTCTTAATGGAAAACCTGGCGCCCCCTACAGCACAAAAGAGTTCTGGTTTGTAATCTTATTGCGTTCATAATCTTTAATGACTTCTGAATGTTTTTTGTCCGCATTGTTTATTTTTAATTTATGTAAATATTGTTTCGCTTTGTCTTGCTGGTAGATTATTAGTTTTTTAAATTTTCGGTTAGGCAAAGTTTACTTAATTACTTGTTGATTTAACTTTCATGGTTAATATCATTGTGAATTTTTTAATTTCGATTTTGTTGTAATCCTATTGCTATTATTTAGCTCGTACGATATCAGATGGAACAGTTCCGTTGATCGCCGTTGTTGCCACACTGGGAGTAATTCTATTGGTTGCAGCAAGTGCTACCTGTTATCGGTATTGGTCCCATCGTCGGAATAGGCCACGCCTTCCATTCTGGAGTATCGAGCTCCGTGAGGAAAAAATTAATCTCAGTTCCGAATGCCAATATCAACACTTAGACGCTGCTACAAATAAGGTCGTAGAAGCCACATCTTCCGACGACGTCGAACCTGATTTTCTGGTTACTCCACAACTACGGCGATCTACTTCAAAGAAAATTTGCAGAACTATGGACGTTTGAGATTTCTAACCTTTCCAGACTGTCTATGGAGAGTGAGGACAAACTTTTAACGTATATGTTTTCTAGTCAAAAAAAAAAGAAACCTAAAAATGATACGAAAATTTTCAAGTCACATGAGAGATGAATAACTATGACAGGTTATTTTTTTTCTCAAGCACAACATTGGATTATTTTGAATCGTAGTGAAACATTTCGTTATTAATGGTATTATTATTACTAGCTTAGGTTTAACTGTGAATAAATGTTTGGATTATCTGTTATACGTTAACCAAATATCAAAATATCACTTTATATTATAATCAACATAATTTCCTTTAAAAAAAATAAAATAGTTAAAATATATTTACTGAAAATAACTAGAACGTTGGATCTTTATTGTGAAAACAAGGCATATAATCTTTAACGTTTTGTTTCAGTGTTGAACTGTAGAATTTATTGGTGTAACGTGTTTAAAATGTTTCTGTGCCAAGGCCATTCAGAGTTTATCCTCCTATCAAAGGTCATGCGATCCTTTCTTTTGTGCGTGACTTGTCAAGATAAACTTGTCCTCCTATGTTCCAGGTCTATCCAGATTACTGTATACATTCCTTTCCATTTTTCTCGGTATATCCATATTGTCATTATTTTATCCTTGTTCACTTTTCTTTTGTCTCATCTTTCTCCAATATATTTTCACAATATATGACCCTACAGATCATCATAATCCGTTATTCCTCAGTTCCAGTTCCACGTACATGACCATATCTACGGTCTTCTTTGATTGACCTGTCTAAATGACTATGGTGTCTTTGTTTTATTTCTCATTTTGTGTTCACTTTGCCACAATTTCCTTTTCAACTGTTGAGCCTTTTCAAACTACCTTGATTTTATATGCTATTCAAGATTTATCATGTGTTTAGAGCTTCTTTTTTTTTCGACTAGCCCATTCATGTTTTTATATTCCCATACATTTCTGCTCTTGTCGTATTCAAATTGACGTTCTCCAGTTTTATACATATTGCTGTATCGTTGTCTTCCTCCGTCCTCTGCTTGTCTTGATTCCATATCTGACCCGAATCTTACTGATAAACATAATATTTCGTGTTTCGAATTTAGCCTGATTAGCACACTCTTATTATTTATTGTATCAATTTTATCCAGATAAGCATATCATCCTACTCTTCTGTTTGAGGCTTATCCATATTACCACCTCCTTCTCCTGTGCTCCAAATCTATCCAAATGATTCTAGCCATCTTCTCTTCTGGAACTCCTGTGCTCCAAATCTATCCAAATGATTCTATCCATCTTCTCTTCTGGGACTCCTGTGCTCCAAATCTATCCAAATGATTCTAGTCATCTTATCTTCTGGGATTTCTGTGCTCCAAATCTATCCAAATGATTCTATCCATCTTCTCTTCTGGTACTCCTGTGCTCCAAATCTATCCAAATGATTCTATCTATCTTCTCTTCGTGGTACTTCTGTGCTCCAAATCTATCCAATGATTCTATCCATCTTCTCTTCTGGTACTCTGTGCTCTAAATCTATCCAAATGATTCTA